GGCCCATTTCCGCAAGGCGCCCCAGAAGGATACCGTGGTCGACGGTATCGAAGGCCGCTGAGAGGTCCAGGAGCACCAACAGGGACACACTCCCCCTGTCTAGCTCCCGGCGCAGATCATCCACTAAGGCGACCAAGACCGTCTCAGTTCCATGTCCCAGGTCTGAAACCAGACTGTGCCGAATCCAGATAATCCGTGTCTCTCAAGAATACCTGGAGTTGTGAGGCCACCACGCTTTCCATGACTTTGCCCAAAAATGGGAGATTGGAAACAGGCCGAAAGTTGTCAAATTTAGTGGGGTCCAATGATGGTTTCTTCAACAGCGGTTTTATAATGCTTGTTTTAAGCTCGCTGGAATCTTGCCTTCCCGAAGGGAGGCATTAACCACCATCGTTACCCACTCAGCCAATCCCCCTCTGGCCTCCTTCAGAAGCCAGGATGGGCAGGGGTCTAGGATGGACATGGTGGGCCTCATTCCTCCAAGTATCTTGTCCACATCCTCGGGCTTCACAAACTGAAAAGAATCCATCAAAATAGGACAAGCAGGTGCTCGTGTCACATCCTCAGAGACTGCATTTAACATGGTGTCCAGACCAGAACGGATCAAAGCGACTTTGTCTGCAAAGAACCGAGCAAATGCTTCACAGCGCGTGGCCGAATTGTCAGGGCTCCCGCCTGAGGTGGCGGGAGTTAAAAGACCTCTGACAATCCGGAACAACTCCGCCGGACGGTTCCTTGCAGACGCAATAGTGGCCGCAAAGAAAGTTTTCTTTGCGGCTTTTATTGCCGCGGCATATGCCCTTAGAAAGGACACAAACCGTGCTCGATTTGACTCGCTCGGGTCCGAACGCCACACGCTCTCTAGTTCCCTCTTCCTTCGCTTCATCACTGCCAGCTCCTCAGTAAACCAAGGACTGGTTTAGCTCGGCTACTTGAGAGGGGACGTTCCGGAGCGATCATGTCAATTGCCCTGGCCATCTCCCCATTCCAGAGAGCGACCAAGGCCTCGACATGGTCACCTACCGAGGTGGCGGGAAAATCCCCAAGAGCCGTCAGGAATCCATTCGGATCCATAAGCCTCCTGGGGCGGACCATCTTAATGGGTCCTCCACCTTTGCAGAGGTTAGAGGGCGCAGTGAGCCTAAATCTGATCAGGAAGTGGTCAGTCCATGGCAACGGAGAGATAGACAACTCCTCCACACCGCCACCCTGCTCCCAACCCTGGCAGAAAACCAAGTCCAATGTATGTCCAGCGTAGTGGGTGGGGCCAGATATTTGTTGGGACAGCCCCATGGTTGCCATGGCAGACATGAAGTCCTGAGCCGCTCCTGTGAGGGTCGCCTCGGCATGGATATTGAAGTCTCCCAGCACGAGAAGCCGTTGAGACTCCAATGCCAGGCTCGAGACTACCCCCGCTAGCTCAGGTAGGGAGACTGTAGTGCAGCGAGGTGGACGGTACACTAACAGAATCCCTATTCTGTCCCGGTCACCCACCCTCAGGTGGACGCATTCAAAATTTGTGGTCTGCGGATGGGACTCCTGGTCAGATGGATGGAATCTCTATAGACCACTGCGACCCCGCCTCCCCGTCCTCCGGATCTCGGTTGGTGCTGCACGGAGAAGCCTGGAGGACAAAGCTGGGTTAGGTTCACGCCTCCAGCTTCATCCAACAAGTTCTCCGTGATGCAACGCCAGATCTGCCCGCTCATCCAGGATTAGATCCTGGATAAAGGACGTTTTTCGGTTGACAGATCTGGCGTTCAACAGCACCACCTTCAATCCGGAGGGCCCGCCAGCCTGGTTACACCAATTTACCCTAGGAGACCGGTTTGGGATTGTTAATGTAGATAAGCGGTCCGAATTAAGCCGAATTTGAGGTCTCCTTTTTCCGCATCTCCCCTCCCCACCACGACCTCTATGGGGGCCCCTCGGCTAGTGGAACACCTCCCCTCCTCCATGCCGCAGTCCAACTCCAAGGTCTTAGTTTCTGTTTTGCTAGTTGTTTGGTTTGTTGGCGTTTTTTCTTGCCAATTCCCTTGCTTCCCTTTCTCCCCCCTCCCCACCTCATTGTTATTCATGGACTCCAGCCCACTTCCTCCCTTGCCCCTACCACTAGTCACTAATATCAAGGACAGTACAAATAGGGGGATGGGGGACCACATGGGTGATAATAGTACACTTCAGTAAGATTGATAGTGATAAAGTGTAGTAAACGTCTCAGCCGCGACAGTTAGATAGTTCATAAAGTGCAAGAGTCTTAAAGTGCAACACAGTAGGCGACACGGCTGCGTGCCACTAGGGCAATTCATAAAGTGCAAGGATCTTAAAGTGCAACAAAATACCCAAATCTGGCCCTCAGCGCTAACTAAAGTGCGGCAAGGAGGGATCGGGGAAGGGGGCGTAAGTGCAAGTACGGTTTAGCAGCAGAGGCAGGCGCCTTAAAGTGCTATATTACGTTCTTAATACCAATTAGCAGCAAGGTGGACAAGGAACAGTAACGTGCTATGTTCGCAGTATGTAAACACAATATTAAAGAGATTGGCAATGGTATCAGTTGGTAAAGATGCTATGCTCCAGATGTAATCTATGGACGGCTGATGTGGAATAGTGAATGAGTCTCTCAGTCTTCCGGAGATGGTCAACACGACGGTGGTCAGCACAAATTGGTCTATATCCAGCTTAAGTTGCACACACAGGCAGCACACTATCGGTCAACACAGAAAAAGGTCCGCACAAAAGGGGCTGCACAATATCGGTCTACACAATATCGGTCAACACAGAAGAGGTCAGCACAAAAAAGGACTACCCGCGGCTTGCCCAGATGGTGGGGGCCCAGATGGTGGAAGATGGTAAAGGCCCAGGCGGGCAGGGTCCGGCTCAAGTAGCCCAGGGCCCGGTTCAAGTAGCCCTCGTGGTACAACGGCCCGCCTGGCAAGGCCCGGGCAGTAGAGGCCAGCGTCTGGTATTGGCCTAGATGGTAGCAGCCCAGTTGGAAGGAGCGACGATGTTGGGCGATGTTGGGCCCGGCGGCGAGGCGTCTTGTACAGGCCAGGTGATGGAGGTCCAGATGGTAGGGCCCAGCCGGAGCGACGCTCACAACGCGGCGGCCAGCTTGGTAGGCCCAGGTGGCAGAGGCCTAGCAGGGGCGGCGTTCGCGGTGGCAGCAGCTTCGGCCACCGTAGTGGCCCCAACGGAGGGGCGGGGGGAAGAAAAGGCCCAGATGATAGGGCAGCAAGGCCTAGGTGACCAGAGCCCGGCTCGAGCAGCCCCCGCGGCGCGGCGGTCCACCTGGCAGAGGCCCCGCAATGGAGGCCCAGCCAAGTGAACGTTCGCGGCTCTCGCGGTGGCGGCCTCGGCGCCGGCTGCTGCAGAGTCCCGACTCACTCTTCCGCAGTTGTAAACCGTCCGCCTCCTCTCGGTCTCCCGGCTGCCTCTCTCTCCAGCGGCCTCCTCCAGCAGCCTCTCCCTCGCGGCCGCAGCCTCCTCCAGCAGCCTCTCCCTCTCACACCAGAAGTGACTTGCTCCTGACATGACAAAAAAAAGTAGATATTTGATTTTTTAATATATATATACCTATATACCTGGGGTCGCATACCTTATTTTCAGGCAGAAGTGGGTCGCAAGTGGAAAAAGCTAAAGAAGCCCTGATCTAGAATATGGTCTCCTTCTTTTCCGAAGCACTTTCGCAAGCATTATAATAGGCCCTTTATATCATCAAGCTTTGGTTCCAAAATCTATGGATGATCAAGTCCCATTATAGGCAATGGTGTAGCAAAACGGGATCCCTTTTATAAAATGGCAGAATCAAGGTTTGCTTTTGTTTTGTTTATTGGGAGAAATATTTTAAAGCTGTGGATGGTTGGATCCATTGATGCAGAATCTGCACACAGAAGGCCAACTGAATGGTCTTGTCTGGTGAGCCAGGTCTTCTCATGATATGATCAAAGTACAACCGTCTCGTGGTGCATCTATATTGCTGATTTAATGTGATATGACTCCACTTTAACTGCCTTGGCTCAATGCTATGAGCTCATGGCAGTTGTAGTTTTACAATGCTTTACACCTTGTCGGCCTCCATTATTTCATAGCTTTAAGCCAAGCCATTGTCATTTGGGAGTTGTAGTTGCTGGGATTTATAGCTCACATACAAAGAACATTCTGAACTCCACCAACGATAGAATTGAACCAAACTTGGCACAAAGAACTCCCATGACCAACAGAAAATACTGGAAGAGTTTGGTGGGCATTGACCTTGAGTTTTGGAGCTGTAGTTCATCTACATCCAGAGACCACTGTGGACACAGACAATGATGGATCTAGATCAAACTTGGCACGAATTCTCAATATGTTCAAGTGTGAAGAGTGGTGGGGTTTGGGAAAAATAGGCCTTGACATTTGGGAGTTGTGGTTTCTAGGATTTATAGTTCACCTACAATCAAAGAGCATTCTGAACTCCACCAACGATGGAACTGAACCAAACTTGGCACACAGAAATCTCATGACCACCAGGAAATACTGGAAGGGTTTTGTGAACATCGACCTTGAGTTTTGGAGTTGTAGTTCACCTACATCCAGAGACCACTGTGGACGCAGACAATGATGGATCTAGATCAAACTTGGCATGAATACTCAATATGACCAAATGTGGACACTGGTGGAGTTTTGGGGAAATAGATCATGACATTTGGGAGTTGTAGTTGCTGGGATTTATAGTTCACCTACAATCAAAGAGCATTTTGAACCCCACCCACCCCCACAATAGAACTGGGCAACACTTCCCACAGAGAACCCCCATGACCAACAGAAAATACTGTGTTTCCTGATGGTCCTGATGCTCATTGGTATGGCATCCTATGAGGTGTACTCTGATTAGGCAGCAACACCCCTGGAAAAGAGAAAGCCAAAGAACTTTTCAAAACTACAACTCCCATGATCCCACCGCATTGAGCTTTTGACAAGCGCGTGAAGCGTTAAAAGGGAAGCAGCCCCGCGTTGCATGCCGGGAGTCGTAGTCCTAGCGATTCCAGCCAATCGGCGGCTCTTCCTCTTTCTCCTCCTAATGGCTGCTTCCAGGAAGGTAATGCTTTTCTTGTCTCTGCAGCCCTCCCTTCTCCACAAGCCCCGAAGAGAGTTCAGGTTTCCCGAGCAAAACCTGCTGTGTTCGAAGTGTTGTTGTTATTGTTACTTTTCATTGAGAAATGTCTACCCAACTCCTGCTTCTGCCCTTTTAAGAGCTTGATCTGAATCTTGTTGTAATCTCCTTGGACTGACTCATAAGGATTTGCCTCAGCTTCCTATAATCCACTGAGATTCAATTTTGTGTTTTCTTTCCAGTAATAGGCATTGATCTGGACGACTGCATAGTTTCCAAGGTCCCAACGCTGAAGGAATAAATATTACCCCAAAGAAGAAGGATTCACACAGGTATGAAGGCACAAGGGGAGAGAGAAAACATGGAGGTTTCTGTGTCTGTTGCTTTAAGGCAGGCGTGGGCAAACTCTGGCCCTCCAGGTGTTTTGGACTTCAACTCCCACCATTCCTAACAGCCTCAGGCCCCTTCCTTTTCTGGAGTATAGCCACTACTTTCAAAGTAAGTACCACACAATCAAACAGGAAATAACATTTTCAAACCAGGAACATATTTTTTTTCAAATTTTGTTACATAGTGTCCGGATAATGATGATTACGATGATAATAAAAATTCTACTGCAATAAATTACCAGGTCATAACACATTAGGACAATTTCCTCCAATGTTTTTCATGCAAGAAGTAACTTGAGAAACTGCAAGTTGCTTCTTGTGTGAGAGAATTGGCAGTCTTCAAGGACGTTGCCCAAGAAACTCCCAGATGTGTTACCATCCTGTGGGAGGCTTCTCTCATGTCCCCGCATGGGAAACTGGAGCTAACAAATGGGAGCTCACCCCGTCTCACAGATTTGGACTGCCACCCTTCAGGTCAGCAATTCAGGCAAGACAGAAGGGTTTATTCCATTGCGCTACTGCAGCTCCTCTATTTCCTCCAATAATGATTAAACATGCAAAACAGTAAAAAGCAATTAATTTCAAACAAGAGCCCAATCTGTTCACAAGCACAATAACTTCAGCAACTCCATAAACTGCCTTCTAGTTGTGATGAGTGGAAAACACAGTTCCAAGAGATGTAAGGAAAGGCACCCCTTAAAGCAGGCATGGGCAAACTTTGGCCCTCCAGGTGTTTTGGACTTCAGTTTCTAACATCCTCAGGCCCTTTCATTTTCTCTTCCTCTTTCTCCTCCTAATGGCTGCTTCCAGGAAGGTAATGCTTTTTCTTTGTCTCTGCAGCCTCCTCTCCCTCGAAGAGAATTCAGATTTCCCAGGCAAAAGCTACTATGTTCAAAGTGTTGTTGTTGTTATTGTTGTTACTTTTCATTGAGAAATGTCTAGCCAACTCTTGCTTCTGCCCTTTTAAGAGCTACAACTAGAATGGGAAAGCTCATGGTAATTTTCTGCAGATCACGTGGTAGATCCTAATGTACTTTCTGCTCACTCCTGGATCTTTAAAAAATAAGGGAGCCGTCCCTCTTTGTTGTGCCTGTCTTGTGGGAAGTGTGGCTGCTGTTCCACAAGGTGGCTCCATGCACATGAAGAGTCCCCATAATAGGACTGACTTGTCTTGTGATGATGCGGAAGAAGTTGGTAAAATCAGCCCTTAGAACTGGATCCGGCTGCAGTCCTCATCCATAAGTGTCCAAGAGAGCTGTTTGGTACTCTTTGTTTCAAAACTCGCAAATAAAGGTATTGCACTTTCTTTAAGGCAGTTTATGGAGTTGCTGAAGTTATTTTGCTTGTGAACAGCTTGGTTTCTTGTTTGAAATTAATTGCTTTTTACTGTTTTGCATGTTTAATCATTATTGGGGAAAATAGAGGAGCTGCAGTAGCGCAGTGGGTTAAACCCTTGTGTCCTGGCTGAATTGCTGACCTGAAAGTCAGCGGTTCAAATCTGCGAGACGGGATGAGCTCCCATCTGTTAGCTCCAGTTTCCCATGCGGGTACATAAGAGAAGCCTCCCACAGGATGGTAACACATCCAGGTGTCCCCTGGGCAACATCCTTGCAGACTGCGAATTCTCTCACACAAGAAGCAACTTGCAGTCTCTCAAGTCGCTTCTGACATGAAAAAAAGGAGGAAATTGTCCTAATATGTTATTACCTGGTAATTTATTGCAGTAGAATTATTATTATCGTCGTCGTCATCATTATCATGACACTACATAATAAAATTTGGAAAAAGTTACGTTCCTGGTTTGAAAATGTTATTTCCTGTTTGATTGTATGGTACTTACTTTGAAAGTAGTTTTTATACTCCAGAAACTTCATTTTTGTGGCTGCCACAAACTGTGTTGATTTGGTTGAGACTCAACGAGATATCCATTGAAAAACTATAACAAAATGTGTAGCAGGATGTCCCTCAAAAACCAAGGTTTTTGCAGTTTAATAAACGTTTTCCATGTTTTTATGATAGAACCAATTAAAAAATACATTTATAACCTAGGGATAAGAATCGTATTACATGGTGTTATCATTATTATTTGTAACCTCACCTTTCTCCCAGGACTGAGACCCAAAGAAGATCACCATCTAAAAACTATGCAGTTTTAAAACCTGCAAAATATAAGTTTTCAAACGAATTAAATATTATAAACATTAGAACAAGTTTTTTAAAAACTATTAAAAGCAATTCTAATTATTGTTGTTAACTTAATTCTGACATAACTGTCTTAAAAATATGCCCATTCCTTACCCATCTTCTCACCTCACAAAGTTAGGGACGGATATTTTTGCCTGTTCAAATAAACCAAATCATTGTGTACACTCAAATTGACCTAATTCTGGTTTCATATACTGTTCAATTCCTATGTTGGTTATTAATTAGATATTAAATTACTTTCCCCCAACTTATATGTATTGACCAGAATGCTTTAAATGGGTCACAGTATCAGTGCTGAAGTGTTGATGTGAGAGGAATAAGAGCTGAAAGACAGGACTGGTATTTTCTGTATTTTCCTTCCCTTACAGATGGACAGCAGGGAAAATATACATGGGCATTTAATGGGAGTGAGTGTGAAATTGAAGAGAAGGGCAGGGTGTGACTAAAAAACCTCATTTGCAGGCCTAATTTTTCATTTCAACCACAGGCAGTTCCTTGCCAACTCTCCAAAAGGTTAGGGGTATATGGAGTATAAAAGGAGATCAGGCTGTGGTGACATTTATCCAAGTCCAACGTTACTTACCTCTCTTTCTGTTTTCTAGATTCATCTGTAGTCCTCGTTCTGTGCTCAGGATTTCATTCAGCACCCACAATGATTGGAAACATGGCTGCCAACGGCCATCTTTCACATCTCTTCTTCGTGCTTTTCTCTCTGCTGATCGGTCTGCCTGTTGTGGAAGCCTTGGATGCAGGCGATGCACTAGCCCTCCTGTTGGGCATGGTTCTCAGCTGCATTGGATTGTGTGCCTGCCTCGGCATGTACGCAAGAAAACGAAATGGAGAACTATGACGCTAAGAAAGAGATGTCTTTGTCAAGGATAACTCCCTTGTTGGATGAGATTATAAAGTTTCTGGATGTTCCTATTCCCGGAGTATGGACTATCCTTGGTGGAAGGTTCTGAAGAATTGCACTGCATAGGAAAAGAGTTGTTTCATATTTCTTATGATTAAGATATTGGTTTAAGATGGAAATAGTTTGCTTTTTCTTGATAGGAGAAATTAACTTTGCTTTTTCTTGTTTGGAGATGTTAACAGTAAGACTTTTCATGGAGATTGAGATGCAATGGGGATTTTTTTTAGGGTAGGAGAAGTCTCGGTTGAGGATAGTGTGCAGAAACTGTTCAAACTTAATTAGAAAACACGGAAAATCCCTCCTAATTAGTTGATTTAGAGATTACGTTGTTTAAGTTTCTAAAATATAAAATCAATCTTCCTAGTTTTCTTCAATTTAAGCCACAATATTATGTGAAAACGTCAAGCTGATGTGTTCCCTCCTAGTTCTGTGATGTATTCACCTTGGGATCTTATTTTGGAAATAATTTAATGGCTACCATACACTGCGATCATAGCTTGAAAAGAGGAGAAAGTACACAAAATTATGTCTCTCCTTTGCTTACTTTCTGTTCCTTTCCAAAAAAATTCCTGATGTTGAAAATTCCTGATGCCATAAAGCCTCTCAGTTATTAATTTAAAGTGTTTCTAGGGAAGATGCTTAAATGACCAAATGCTCTGTTTATGTCTTGACTTGTATTATTTGAAGGGTTTTTAATAAATAGTGGAATTTGTATTATTTTAAAGGTATTAAATGAGATAAAGGATTACCCAGCGAGATTATTATATTCTTGGCCTTCCAATGCAATTGTATAAGTATCTTGTGTGATGTCACTGATACCATCCAAACGCTCTTCAACTTCAATTGGTCCAGCATACGGCAGCCAGATTGCTCAGCAGAGCTGACTCCAGAGAGCACACTACCCCCCTGCTGAGACAGCTCCACTGGCTCCCAATTAGTTTCTAGCACCCAATTTGAGGTGCTAGATCTTTGGAAAACACTATCTATGTTCATTCAGATGTACAGCTATAACTGCAAAGAAAGAAAGATCAGGCCACTTAAAATGGCTTAGCTTTGGGAATACAGATGTATTGAGATCTGTATGCATAGCTTTCAACCAGATGCTCACATCTGCTGCACTTAAAAAATCTAAAGGCGGACTAAACATTGTGCTTAAACCATAAATAAGCACTGTTTTTCTACAGAAAAACTATTTTATCTTTAGTCCTTGATCCAAAAGGGAATATTCCTTTTGCAAAGCAAGATGGGCCCAGATGAGTAAAATAATGCTAAGATGGACTGAGAATGAGCGCAACTGAAGACTGACAGAAGCTAAATCATGGGTTCGCTTTCACTTTGTTATATCCATACTACAGATTTACAATTCAATGCCACTTTAGCTGCCATGACTCCATCCTACCAAATTCTCAGGTGAGATAGTTAGAATTCTCTGCTGTAGATCTCTTTGGATATAATTCAGGGAACTGGGTTAGAACTCATTGCCAGCTGTGCCCGTTTCTGGAGAAATCCGACTTGACCATGGTAGTACACGCACTGGTTATGTCCCGGTTGGACTAGTGCAATGCATTCTACATGGGACTGCCCTTAAAAGTGTCCAGAAACTTCAATTGGTCCGGTGTACAGCAGCCAGATTGCTCAGGAGAGCTGACCAGGGAGTCCATTACCCCCTGCTGAGACAGCTCCACTGGCTCCCAATTAGTTTCCAGGCCCAATTTAAGGTGCTGGTTTTAACCTATAAATCCCTATTATTATTATTATTATTATTATTATTATTATTATTATTATTACTTTATTTGTACCCCGCTAGCATCTCCCAAGGGATTCGATGCGGCTTACACAGGCCGAAGCCCAAAAACACAATACAACAATACAGTACCTAAGCAAATTAAAACAGTTAAGCAGGAAAACAATAACAGTAACAGTACAACAAGACATTATTAAAACTGGGCCGGCCGGAGTAGGGGTACAGGATTAAAAGTGCTGATGTGGCGGGAGGAGTATAGGATTATAATATAAGTGCAGTGTGCAGTGTGTAGTGATCTTGGTTCTACTAAAGTGCTTCTAGGATTTGGTGCTGGGGTTCCTAATCTGAAAAGGCACATTGGAACAGCCAGGTTTTCAGATTCTTTCTGAAGACTGCCAATGTAGGGGCATGTAAATCCCTACATGGTTTCAGTCCAGGATACGTGAGACACCATGTCTTACTATACAGGTCTGGCAGACCCTTAAAATGGAGCAGTGAAACACTTCTCTCCACCCAGTTTAGGGACAGTCTTCACTTAAAATTGTCCAGAGATGGCACCTTCTCAGGCGTAGCACCAAACCTTTGGAATGCTCTATCAGAAGCGATTAGAGCAGCCTCCACCCTCATGTACTTTAGGAAAAATCTGAAGCCTTTCCTGTTTGGAATAGCTTTTAACTGATTTGTGACAGAAGCCTAGGATTTGCATTTTATAATTATATTTTATCTCTGTGGGCAATTTTTAGAATGTTTTTGTTCATTTTATGTTAATTGTAATGTCCTACGAGAAAAAATATGTAACCTATTTGGGGTTGATTTTAATGGTTTATTTTATATTGTATGTTTTAATGCTTTTGTAAACTGCCTTGAGTCCACTGGAGAAAGGTGATATAGAAAGTTCCCAAATAAATAAATGAAGGCTTCTAAATACCAAACCAAAAAACAAATCATAGGATTCTAAAGGTTTAAACCACAGTAACAGAAATGATGCCAGAGTACTGTAAGTGTCCAGTGTGGACACACCCCTGAAGTGAGCATTTATGGCCATCGGAAAAAACATTTGGCTCACATTTCCATCTGAGATAGATAACATTACCAATGGAAATAAGTAACGGCTATCTGGCTCCTTTAGAAACAGAAACGTAGAGCTGGAAGAGACTTCGTGGGCCATCCAGTCCAACCCCCTGCCAAGAATCAGGAAAATCACATTCAAAGCACCTCCAACGAGTGGCCATCCAGCCTCTGCTTAAAAGCCTCCAAAGAAAGAGCCTCCACCGCACTCTGGGACAGAGAGTTCCACTGCTGAATAGCTCTCACAGTCAGGAAGTTCTTCCTAATGTTCAGGTGGAATCTCGTTTCCTGTAGTTTGAAGCCAATTTTCCATGTGCTAGTCTCCAGAGCAGAAGAAAGCATACCTGCTCCCTATGACTTCCCCTCACATATTTATACATGACCATCGTGTCTTCTCTCAGCCTTCTCTTCTGAAGGCTAAACATGCCCAGCTCTTTAAGCCGCTCCTCATAGGGTCTGTTCTCCAGACCCTTGATCAATTTAATTGCCTTCCTCTGGACACATTCCAGCTTGTCAATATCTCTCTTGAATTGTGTTGCCCAGAATCGGACACAATATTCCAGGTGTGGTCTAACCAAAGCAGAATAGAGGGGTAGCATTTCTTCCCTAGATCTAGACACTATGCTCCTATTGATGCAGGCCAAAATTCCATTGGCTTTTTTTACCACCACATGACATTGTTGGTTCATGTTTAACTTGTTGTCCATGAGGACTCCAAGATCTTTTTCACACGTACTGCTCTCGAGCCAGGCATTGTCCCCCATTCTGTATCTTTGCATTTAATTTCTGCCAAAGTGAAGTATCTTGCATTTGTCACTGTTGAACTTCATTTTGTTAGTTTTGGCCAATGTCTGTAATCTGTTCAGATAGTTTTGAATTCTGCTCCTGCCTTCTGGAGTATTGGCTATCCCTCCCTTTTTGGTGTTGTCTGCAAACTTGATGATCATGCCTTCTAACCCTTCATCTAAGTCACTAATAAAGATGTTCAACAGAACCGGGCCCAGGACGGAACCCTGCGGCACTCCGCTCATCACTTCTTTCCAGGATGAAGAGGAAGTTCGCTTAACCAATTACAGATCCAACTCTAGGACTTTCTGTGAGCCAGCAAAAATGGATTGCAAGATGTAGTACAGAAACGTGAAACCATAGAATGAGATATACCTTTTGCTTTCTCCACCTTTAGGCTGTGGTAGGGAAGATTTCTGAATTCCTACCGACAGCATTTGATTACCAGTCTTATTTTAAAAGTTTTGGTTCTTTAGTTTTGTAAGCTTACATGGAAAAACCAGGTGACAAAAATGTTTTAATATTGTTCCTTTTTATAATAATAATAATAATAATAATAATAACACTTTATTTGTACCCTGCTACCATCTCCCCAAGGGACTCGGTGCGGCTTACATGAGGCCGAGCCCAAACAACAATACAGGCAATAATCACAACAATACAAGCAATTAAAATAAAACATAAACAATAAACATATAACATATAACATTATCAATAAAACAACATACAGTTAAAACTGTGGGAAGGCCACATGTAAAAATTTAAAATTGGAATAGTGCTGAGGCATGGACGAAAGGTGATAGTGGCGTTTGTGGAAGACATATGAGCAGACCTAAAAGTATAAAGTGCTTTGGAAGGACAAAGTGCTATAGGATCATTATTCTGGGAAGGCACACTGGAACAACCACGTCTTCAAGCTCCTCCTGACACTGCCAGAGTTGGAGCCTGCCTGATGTCCTTAGGGATTGAGTTCCAGAGTCGAGGGGCCACCACTGAAAAGGCCCTCTCTCTCGTCCCCACCAATCGCGCCTGRGATGCTGGTGGGATCGAGAGCAGGGCCTCRCCYGATGAWCYAAGYGATRYTGTGGGTTCYTATARYGAGATGCYYTRACGCAGGTAGGVGGYTCCCAAACCYTTCAGYGCTTTGTAGGTAAGAACCTGCARCTTGAATTGGGTCRGGWAYATGAATGGCAYCCAGTGGAGCTCCRTGAACAGGAGGMWTGACCYCTCCCTGTAAGGAGCCCCAGTTAACAACCTGGCTGCCGCCCGTTGGATCATCTGAAATTTCRGGGCCGTTTTCAAGGGCAYCCCCACGTAGAGTGCATTGCAGTAGTCCAGTCTAGAGGTGACTAAGGCGTGGACCACCCTGGCCAGATCCGCCTTCCCGAGGTATGGTCGCAGTTGGCGCACGAGTCTTAATTGTGCAAAGGCCCTCCCGGCCACCACCAACACCTAAACCTCAAACGTAAGTGAAGAATCCAGGAGGACCCCCAAACTGCGGACCTGTGACTTCAGGGGGAGTGCAGAACAAGTTGCCACCCTATACCCCGGTCTGGTTTACGTTCAACCAGGAGGACCTCTGTCTTGTCAGGATTAATCTTTTTAGCCATGTTTTAAAAGATTTTGGGGATTAACAAGTTAATTGAATTATGAGGTTTTACAGTTGACTTATCAGCTGCTCTGCCATTACCATAATATATTTCATACAGGCCTATTGCTTATGGAATATAACCATTCCAATAAGGCCAGACTGAGTGTGCAGATATTTGCCAGATAATTTTAATCTTTCTTTTTCAGGAGTCACTAAACTACATGTGCTAAGAACCTTAGGCTTAGTTTTTTTTTTTTCCTTTAAATAAATTATTGGAAGGGTTTGGAGGGAATCTTTTTTGATCTTGGGTGTTGACTTTGAAATCAAGTCCATATACTTGGAGTCTTTTCAAATACATCTGCATGCCAGTGGCATGTTTTTTCCCTTCATCAGTGGCCCAACACAGCATTATCAGTATTAGAGCTGCAGAGAGGCAGGAAGAAAAATGGGCTAAGGTTTTCTTTCCTCCAGCAATTCACATTTGTTACAGTTCAAATGTAGGTCACCATGTGGGTTTCGTCTCATCTGTCTGTTAATTTCTTCCTTCAATATTAGGA